TAATTCCAAATGAAAGTTGTCTGTCTAATATAATGTCTATAATCAATTATTTGTAGCACTTGTGTACCATTTTCAGTGTATTGTTCATCACCTCCCAATGGATGTAGCACTGATCCCCCTAAAACTTGTTGGCCAATGATTAACTCCTGGTCAATAAGGCCTTTAATGCTGATTATCTTCACAGTCATCGAAGTACACGATTAATGGTATACTCAATCTTAATTAAATAAATGATTCATTTTAGTCAAAGGAAAAATTAGAACATATAAAAAAAGAACCAAAGAAAAGTGCTTTGGTCAGCTATTCCAATGTGATGGATTTCTTTATTTTATATTATTGAAGATTTGTATGTTTGAGTCATGGAGCATTGGTGGGACAGAACAATCTTTATAACCCATCTCCTCCGGCTTTACAATTGTGAAGGTTGTTGATTTCGTGGTCTGTTTATTTCTTTTAGGTAGAATCTAAAAGCAATTGCATGATTATTTGCTTATTTGCTTATAAGCCTCAGTGAATGGTATGATATTTCAAAACTCTGGGGAACCAATAATTTTCAGTCCGCTCTTCCTGTATCTCGGCAAACTCCACAGTGGAAAGGTCGAACTGTCTGGCGTTTATTGGAAATGTGTAGTTGTAGTTTTATGTTTAGGTCTCTGTCTGGCGGGGAGCGAGTCACAGCGACTCTGTATGAGGGTGAAATCAAGGTCACACTAGTTGTCTGTCCCCATCAGGCTTTAAAGAAAACTCTAGTCTAAGAAATACTGTCTTTCCTTTAGCAGAAGTACAAAAGGTGGTGTAGCCAGTTGGTGGATCGATGTGTAAGAGGCTACACTGTTTGAAATAGGAGAGGGGAATGGCATTATTGAAGGGATAGGAAAGTAAACACATTTCTTCTCGTCAGTGTCACTGGGAAACAGAATAATTGGTTAGTGGCCTTGTGTTTGTATGTATGTATGGGCTCTAAAGGCAATAAACAGCAACAGAAATCAATTCAAATCAAATGGCTGGCAAAAAATAGAGGGTGATGAAAGCAGTTTTTTAAAGATAGTGCCAAATACCCCGGTATGTGTTTATGCCAATGTCAATTCTAAACTGAAGATGATCAGCAAAACCATAAAAGCATTGTTAATGAGAAATTTAATGTTTTTAAACATGTTGATGATTAGCCTAGCTTAACATAAATACAGAAGGCAAGGGGGGAAACCACTAACTCATCTACCATTACCTCTAAAGCGCATTCATTTACCAATTTCAACTCCTTTTTTTAATCCATCTACAAACACTGTTCCTTTGTGGATTATTTTATATTTTCTTTAAGCTGTTCCCCCTGTCTTTATGCTTAATTTAGCTAATCAGGTTGTGACTCCAGCTACAGATTGGCATCATTGCTCCTTTTTAACAATCACAATCTGGCAGTCTGACTTCTTTGAACATTTAAATGATGTAATTTAAATAGAAATCAATATTGTGAGTCCTAAAATCTGGAAATAACAAGTCAGTTGTTTAACGTGTGTGTTGTTAGAGGCCTGAAATAGTTGTAAAAGAAGCCTAAGAGAATTTCACGTTTTGATCTCCAACATAAAATATGTCAGTAAATGTCCGAAGCTTCTTTGTGTCATTAAAATGGCGGTTGTTGACAAGTGACTAAAGGAGACTACAAAACGTCATCACAGCAAAACGAGCCCGCCTTTAGCTTAGCGGTGGTGATGTGCGGCCATGCAGCCATGTTGTGGTTTGTTTGAAGGTGACATGTCATGCTTTTCCGGTTATTACCCGTCCCCTTGTGTGTTATGAAGGTTTTTATGCATGTAAATGGTGTGCAGAGTCAAAACCCTCAAAGTACACCATGTAGCGAGTAAAACTCTAAAACAGAAAATACCTCCCCAAAACGCCTCGTTGGAGATACGTCACTGTCCATTTGATTCTTCCGGGTACATCATGATGTCATGTCGTCCCCGGAACGAAATGGACCAATCCGTGGAGCCGTTAAGTTACGTCCAGTGCAGGCAGCTCTGCTGATTTCTCCTCCCTGGCTGCAGGCTGATAACAGACAGTTGGGATCGCGGCGAAATTCTCCCTGCAGACCCATTCTCTCTGCAGACCCATTCTCACAGCGTTTATCAACCTTTTTCTTACTCAATATCAAGCCACACTTATTGTTTTTACTTCGGCTGTGACTTTGTGTGTGCTCAGGGTGAGTTTGGCTGTGTTTCGCTGTGTATCGCTAAACAAGGAAATCACACCTCCACGGAGCTCAGCGCGATTCACAACGTCCCGACTGGTCCCGACCAATCGGAGCACACTCGGCTCACAGGGAGGGGGGGGCAAGAGCTGCAACGAGCCGTTTAGTGGAGAGAGTGAATACTGCTGAATACACATAGCCTACTTTACAGAGATGCTGTATGCGAAACCAATGTGAGTTTGGAAAATTGCACAGTATAAATCTATTCTAGTAGACCTCAACAATGGAATTATGATCAGTGGAAATGGCCATGACATGGGACCTTTAAAGCCTGGTGTTAGCTTTTGACTTCTGGCGATTTAATTAATGCTTCAAAATTCACAAAGTGGTGTTAATATGTGGAGATTATCCTACTTAAGAAACGTGTTCAGTATCATGAATGTTTGTTTTCCACAGAGTTTATTTTCTGCAATTTACCGAAATCCAATGGTAAAATGCAATTTCTTTATGTCGAGGGACCCTTTTGTAAAGCTAACTTCCGGGCGGCCTAAATAAATGAGTCATCACTGCAACACTCTAAAACCAGCTTTGAAGAGCAGCCGTATTTTTCCTTTTTCATCCCCTTAAGCCATAATACTACCTTTTTTTCTGTTTGTATGCAGAATAAACAATATCCAGACTAGACACAATATCTTACTAAGTGATGTTTAGTTGTTGGTCATTGTATTTTTAAACTATAAACAGAACCACATGAAGCTCTTCCCCTGTGTTTATAGTCTTTATGCATGATATACATCCGATTAGCCTACTCTGAGAAAATGTGTTTCCCAAAACCATGCCTTCTTAGGTCTGTAACGTAACAGTATTTTGCACTGCCGCTCAATTGTATACACCACTGAGCTAATAAAATATCTACTTCTGTCTTATCTGAGCAAATATTGTTTTCCATAATGGTGTGTTATTGCTCAAATAGTTTTGGATTAACATGGAAATACAAGAGAATCTTTTCTTATCAACATCATTAAAAGGCAGTTATCACCATCTGCAGTACCGGAGAGATTTGGGGCAATCAGCGGAGTACACAACAAGTTACAATGAGATCTCTCCGTCTCAACTGGAGTCGGGTCTTGCGGTCTGCCTAATTAAAGGGCTGAGGGGAGAGGTTGGCGGAGGTTGTGTGTGATCAGTGTCTCGCTGTGCTCCATTCCAAGGTCGCTGCTTGTAGCCATTGCCAGGCTGACTGTGAGCTGCAGGCGGGAGGTGAGGCCTTTCTCTGCCCAGCTCCAACGCAGGTGTGAGGAGACTTACCTCCAGGGTCAAGGTTAGCACCGGGTGAAGCAGTGTGAAGCTTTGGGGTTTGTTCAAGAAAATGCAGCAGAGCTAAAAGTCTTGAAAGCTCGACTTTGGGATAGTTACATCCATCTAGCTGCGCTATCAGAGGCGTTCTGCAGAGATGTCTTTTTATGGAGCTGTCTGTCATTTTCTCATTAGACTCAGATTGATGGATTCTAAACGCCAACACCTGCTCTTTCTGCATTATAAGCAGCTCATTTCCTCTCTGTTTCTATTTCTCTTTCTTGGTTTGTTCCTCTCTGTCTGACACCCCACAGCGTTGGAGGTTTAAAACCATAATAATGGGGAAGCTGTCATAGAAAGCTGACCCACTCAAGCAGCTTTATCGCGTGGCGAAAGGCTTTGTGTGTTTATACTCCCTTGTGCGCTGAAAACTACACATTTCCCTTTTTCAAGAACAACCTTCAGATTTCCGAGAAAGAGGTGCTCAATCACAGCGAGGATTATTGTTTGGCGCTACTGTATACTAGCGCACCCAGTTCAGTTCAAGTTCACAATGGATCAATTAAAAGCTGTAATTCTAACGGGTGAAACTGGAAACGTCCTTTAAAGATCTGTGTTTTGCCTCGGAACTAAAGACACACGTTTGCTTTTCATCACTCTCCCCTACTCAGCGGGAAAGTCGTAAATGATCCAGGGTAACAAATATCCAACATTCCCAGCCTAACACGCACACACACACAAACAGATGATAAACTGACAGTTTGTTTTTGTGACAGAGCCAGAACATGTGCAAACATGCTGATTTTGCTGTAAACTTGTGTCGCTGTGTTTGTAGAACGCAGATGAAAACCGAGACATGGTTGACAGGTTTCTGCATGGCAGCCACTCAGAAGTCAATCCACAGCAGACGGCAAACTCATAAATAACAGACCTCCCAGTCAAAAACCTTGTCCAGCATGTAATGAGAAAAAAAGCCAAGACAATTTAGGGACTCACTATTTGATTTATCAGTAGGCCGAGAACAAAAGGAAGAAGAAAATCTGGAATAAAAAGCAGCATATGGTCTAAAGTGATGGAATGGCTTAGAACACCACTTACTATTTTCAGTCTGGCTGCGTGGGTTGAAACATGCTGTTATGCTCCGAAGGTGTGATGTTTTCAAAGCAGAGCGAGATCTACATCTCACTGTCTCCCCGCAAATTCCTTTGATATGTTTTTTGTTCCCTATTTCTACCTTCTGTCCAACATTTGCTGGGGACTCATGTCTCTGCACCCTGAATCACATCAAAGTGAGCAGAATATTGAAGGGTTTTCCACGTTGTTCCTGTTTCTCTCTCATTATCATCTCCTCCTTACGAACATTTCTTGTTATAATGCAGATGCCGGCTTTTCTTTGTTTTACCTACAGTTGGCATCCTGCATGCTCAAAGGCATTTACAGAGATTGTTGTAGCCACTTATACAAGTCGTGGCTCTTAGCTCTCTTCTCATGGGTACTGTATCGATGTTTTTCTCCCCCATAGGTTGTGACCCTGGGGAAGAACAGCCGTGGTTACCACTACATTCTGGCCAATCTTGTGAGTAATAACCGAGCCGCTCCCCTGGGAGGAAGTGGAACCTGCTTTTGCTGCGTGTGATGCGACTAAGTCTCAGCCATGAGCACTAATGTGCCTGCACAATAAGTGGATTATAGGCTTTTGTATGAAATCAGGAAAAAACAGGCGTGTATATATTGTGCTTCTTTCTTTCTACTGTATATATTTGTCTTATTATATTTATTACTCATGTTTAATCAATCACAATCTAGCATCAGACTCCATATTTACCATAACTGAATATGCCCATATTTTGTTATAGTTTAATGTCTACAAATAAACAGCATTTAACCTTTTTTGCCATTCTTGGAGGGCAGCCATCTTTTGCTCCCACTAAATGTTAATTTAGCCTTGACATTAGCATGAGAGGTTTTTTTTTTTTTAGAGGGGGCCGGCCCCGTTTCTCATTGGCTGATCCCCTGCTGCTTTTTCACCGACTTTAGAAGTTGTGATTATGCAGGCAAATGCATGTCTCCATGACCCAATGCCACTCTTGAAGACGACTATTTGACCATAAAAATAAGTAGCTCCATGTTATAGCTCTGGGTTAAAGTAGGACATTTATAGTCAGCTGGAGCAGTAGAGGATTTAGAAAATGCTTCAGAAAATATTATTTTGTTGGTTTCCTTAAATAAAACTAGGCCAGGTTTAGTCCAATGTTACTGTTTTGTCTTTCATGAACAGACACAAACAGAATGTCTAACGGCAGGTTGTTTTTCAGCACATGAACTCAGGTTGCAGCAGAAAAACATTTGCCTCGGTGTAATGGTAAACACATGTCACTCTTTTATAGCTGCTAACATGTTGTGGTGCTTTCCCCCAGCTTTTATTATATAAAAAAAACATGTGACATGAATCCCCTCCTCTCCTTTTGTCTCAACTCAGGGATTTACTAATGTGAGCTTGGACAAAGTCTTCGCTGGTGGAGCCAACATTTCTGGGTTTCAGATCGTCAACCCTGAGAACCCGATAGTGCAGCAGTTTATGCAGCGCTGGGAGCGGCTAGATGAAAGAGAATTCCCAGAAGCCCGAAACACTCCTCTGAAGGTACTTTGCTTGCAAGGCCTTTCAATTTTGCATGCAGAATACACCAATCAGCCCTTCTGAAGTGCTCTCCATCGGTTCCTCTCATCCTCAGTTTGCCTTTGTCATTCTGCCTTTCCTCCCACCCCTTGCTTCCTCCTCTTTGCTTCCCTTCAAGCAATCAATATATCGATAGGCGGTGCGAGGCAAGGTTATACTGCAGTTTCAATTTACATCTAATTAAACAATGATCAAGGAAGAAATGGATTTTGAATGGCATTTAATTAGATTTGGTCATGGTGCTGTGGTCAACAAGCAAGTGGCTCAACCCTCAGTGGGGAAAAGGTCAGGCGAAGTTTGAGGGGAAGTGCGTGGGAGACAAAATCACACACAAGTGCTCTGTTCACTTCTCAACTCTCCACTAAAGTTTTGAAAGAGGTGCTGACCGTCAGACGAGTCTTGGCTTTTCTAATGAAATCTGTCTAATGAAGCTATTTTTGTCATAAGCAAGGCGTCAGAGCTTGACCTGACCTGGGGGAACTGAAATCAACACATGGACTGCACCAACTTCCACTGGGTCTCAATTGACTTATAATCCAGACCTTGAAGGTTATATAAAAACTACAAAAACGGTAATCTTATCTCATCTTCTGCCTCTCACCATGTGCACTGCTTTCTTTTTTACTTTGTTCAGTACACTTCAGCTCTGACCCATGATGCAATCCTGGTGATAGCAGAGGCCTTCAGGTACCTGCGGCGCCAACGTGTGGATGTGTCTCGCCGGGGCAGCGCTGGAGACTGCCTAGCCAATCCTGCCGTACCTTGGAGCCAAGGCATCGACATCGAGAGAGCTCTCAAAACGGTAGGGTGTGGCGGGAGAAGAAAAACAGAGAGGAAAGAGAGGAAGAGTGGCATGCTGATAACTAAAGAAGAGGCTCGAAGAAGTGAAGCAGAGATAGGGAGCGAGAGTGTGATACAGATGGAAAGTGACAGAGAGAAGGGAAGAGCGCTGAGCTGTTCTCCTCCCTCCGCCTGCAGATATCTCTGCACAGAGCTCACTCAAATCCAGGCACTCATTACCATAAAACTACATTTTTTATTAAAGCGTATCCAGTTCATCATTTGATTAACAGACTGCGCACACTCTAGTAGCTCCATGGACACAGGCATCTTAATACCAGCTATATATGCAAAGTGATGGCTATTACACATTCCCCTGTGAATGTCTGTGTGTCTGTCTGTGTGTGTGTCTTTCTGTGTGTCTTTCTGTGTGTGTGTCTGTCCCTCGTGGTAGGTTCAAGTGAATGGTATGACTGGGAAGATCCAGTTTGACAACTACGGCCGCAGGACCAACTTCACCATAGACGTTTATGAGATGAAAACAGGTGGGCCGAGGAAGGTAAGTTGAAACAGAGACCTCTATCAACTCCATTCCATCCACTGTCCTTTTAGCATACACAGTGGACAGCTTGCTCACGTCAAGGTTTATCATCCCCGGGCGCCGTACATAATGGCAGCCCACTGCTCCTAACACTAGGATGGGTCAAATGCAGAGAAACCGTTTCGTTACATAGTACCTGTACTACGTAATGACAATAAGTTGAATCTTCTTCTTCTTCTTCTTCATCATCATTACTTCGACATTTTTGGGATTTGGCCATCATGTAATTTGAAATGTTCCGGTAGATAACAATAACTAAGCTCAATGAATGTTGGACAGGGATGCTAAAACGTTGCCCTAAACTATTCTGAGGGAACTGATTGTGTGAAACTAGAAAAATTGAAACGCGCCAATACCTCAGTTTATTATACTGAGGGCTCTTGCAGTCATGTGGGAGCAGCAGGGCTTACAGGACAGTGCAGAGTAACGCTAATTGCCTTTCTCTACCTCTGTAAGGTGGCAGCACTGATGAGGCAGCGCAAGACACACAAATCACACACAGCCTGCGATCGCATGGCTCAAACTGCCCTATCAAAGGAGTGATTTAAGACTATTTCCCTGCCATGTGATAGCGTAGATATGATTTTTGGTCCTCTCCTGACAGTAATTACCATTCAGATAACCAATTACTTTAAAGGGGATCCAAGAATCCCTTCTGGCTCCTCTTCAAAATGGTAATTCCCAGCAGTACGTTCACATTATAACCGGAACCATATGATGACCCCTGGTTTTATTTCCAAACCTAGAGTTCCAAGCGACATCTGGGAATTTCTCGTTAGCTGGATAAGTGTTGGCTCAGTCTGATATGACGTGTGATTACGCTGCCTGCCTCCTAGGCCTCTTAAGCCCACACTTCAGTTAGCATCGCATAGCCAAACATGGAGGAAGAAGAGAGAGAGAGGGTGGGAGATAAGAGGTCAGGGGGAGAGAGTGAGGGAAGATGAGACAAGTGGGGCAGCAGTTTGTCAGGACCTCGAGCCCTAGTCACCCCTTTGACAGTTTAAGGATGAAGGTTCTTAGCTGTGGCTGTCAGCAGTGATGTATGGCCTGATATCTGTCCCAGCTGCTCAGACTGAGATCAGGACTTAGCCTCCGGAGCAGAACTCCGTGACACGGCTTCACAACAGCCTCGTCCCCCGAGCATAACTTCTCAAATATCGCTGTCGGACAAGAGTGGCGGAATAAACATTTAAAAGCTTTCTCTGCTCTGGCAAGTGCACTAACTATAGCCATAGTTGTAACCACCATTTGTAAAGCTGAAGTGTTAGCGCCTCCACTTGGTGTTTAAAAACTCTGCACTGTTGTACACCTGTCTGGCCCAAACATTTAAAAGATCTGAGGAAAAAAAAAAGTGGACCAGATGTGACAGGGGAGAACTTTGCCAGCAACAGTTAGACTATTGGCAGCAACATATGCAACACGTTTCATCGTGAGCCAGAGCAGCCATTATTTCAGATGGGCAAACAAACACTTGACATTGGTTTGACTTAAGCATCTGTACATACAGAGAAACTACAGAGGCAGGACTGTGCAAAAGAAACTGTGCAGCCACTGGAATATTGTGCTTAATTATTAAACGTGTATGCAGTTCACAGGCCTTAATATCAATTATTTACCATAAAACCTGCGAAACTGAAGGTGGGGGGGCTTGGAGCTGTCTGCCGTATGCTCATGCAGATAATTTCATGCACATTGAGCTGTTTGAACTGATGTAGATCGTAAAAACCAATAGTAGATTCTCATAATATCTTTGATCATGACACCAACTGCATGTTGAATATAGAAATATCAATTGCTTTTCCCATGCTTACATTCCTTGGCCATTTATGCCGTTTAAACATTCTGCTCATTTGTTGCTATTTTGGTCGTACTATGGGCAGAGGGAGCAGGCCTCTGGGAAATGACATGTTTTTTTTTTTTTTAATGAGCCCTGCCTCATAGCAGTTCCCTGTAAAATTTCGAGATGTTGTTTGTCGAGATGTTCATTTACATACCAACGTGCGTGTGTTGGAATGCTTCACTTACCGCTGTTTTCTCTTCGCAGATTGGGTACTGGAACGAGTACGCACGATTTGTAAATATTATGGACGCGCAGGTCACCAACGACTCAGTGGAAAACCGAACGATTGTGGTCACTACTATTATGGTACACTTTCCACGCAGTTTTAAATGTTTCACGTATTCTGCCACTCAAGGTCATGGTGTTGATTCCAATGAGTGATACATTCTGTCCTGGGCGGGTAGAACCACATCTTTTTTGTGTTGCTTTCCATCCACTCACTACATGTTGAAACAGTCGGTCCGTAACGGGGGAGTGTTTCAACTGTATCCGTGTGGGTGTCAAAGCATTTTGATTTTCCATACTTCAGTGGCCTGTCGTAGCAGTGACATCACAATAATGGTATAAATGATTATGGTTGACTCCATCAATTACAAAAAGCATACAAACGCATACGTAAGTAAACCTGTCTGTCCTCATCAAGTAAATGTTCAATGACACCTGGGATAGACTGGCCGAAGAATGACTAGAGGATGAAACTGCAATGGTTTCTCAAGCCGGGCAAAGCAAAAATAAACAGTATTGGAGGAGGGATACGCAGGTTTGGTATTTCTCCTTGTTATCGCCTCTCCAATCTATTTTGTATTGCTCCTACACATGTTCTGTGTTGAAGTATAACTTCCTGTCAGTGATTTAGAAGGGGATATTCCCAGATCAAAGCAAGATAAACAAGCAAAATATCTTAGATGTATTTACATCAAACTGTATTTACTCAACTAAATGTTCCAGGTTTATTGGATAGCTTTGTCTGCAAATGCATTTAGTGACTATAATGGCAACATAATCACCTGAAGCAGTACCTCAATTACTGCAGACAAACACTTTAAGAGGATTAAGAAAGGATGTTCAGAAAGCGATAATTATCTGTGGTATTTATGCAAAGTTAGGTCATCTGTATTCCAAGGTGTTACTCTGTAGCGAGAGGAAACATTTAACAACTGTTGGTGAAAAATACAGTCAGGAGGTAAACATGTGTTAACTCGAGGGGGAACACTCAATGGATTCAAGGTGAGGGGATACGTTCAGCACAGAACAAACAAACCATTGCTCTCCTACTTGCACTCTAATTGTTTGTGGCTGTAATGACAATGCCTGCTCTCCTGAGTGGTCCTTTTGTTTGATAATGACCATGTGCTCAGTAAGAGAAAAGACGATCTGCACCAGCGTTTGGAAAAGGAGAGGGAAACTAGCACGCTCCTGCTCTCCTGATGTAATTATTTTTTTGATGGGGTATTTTTTTTGCATTTCTTTAGAACAGCTCTTTTTTTCTTTTCTTTCCTTTCTTTTGGGAATGATCAGCATTTAACTGCGCATTGGTGCTTGAATATGTTGAGATACTATGGGCACTCTGATCCCTCTCCTGTCACTGGCATTTACTTATGAAACCCATCCCCATTCCCATCCCCACCCACCTCTGAGCTGACCCACACCTTGCCTACCAATGACTCCCAGCCCTATACAAACTCATTTTGGCCTTCTGTATTCTCCTACGCTAAATAAATAAACTCCCCTCCGTTAACCCTCCTTTATTATGCCATTTATGCCACCCTTGGGGCGCAAAAATAGGCTGGGTGCATTGGGCTTGGTGTCTGCTGGCTGCCACGGCTTGATGAAAGCAGTGTGACCACAACATCACACTGCGGTTATCACAGTATAGTTGTGCATTTGCGGGGCATCATCTATATATGCATGACTGCATGGATGTGGTCATAGCAGCTTATTATATATTCAATCTGTGTGTGTGAGGGTGTGAGTGCACGTATGAGGGCATGTATGCATATTTCTGTATAACTGACGTGTGAGCCAGGGCATGGGAGTGAATAAACCAGCGTGTGTTTGAATCAACAGGAAGCTCCTTATGTGATGTACAAGAAAAATTATATGCATCTGGATGGGAATGACAGATATGAAGGCTACTGCGTCGATTTAGCATCAGAGATTGCCAAACATGTTGGAATTAAGTACAAACTGTCTATAGTAATGGATGGGAAGTATGGAGCCCGAGACCCCGAGACCAAGACGTGGAACGGGATGGTTGGCGAACTGGTCTATGGGGTGAGTACTGGGAGCCTCGGTTTTCGCTGATTACATGACAGTTTGCAAGGAACTTCAACATGAGAGGAGATCTCATTTTTCTGTCTCAAGGTCATCACCAACTCGTTGTGAACTCGTCAGCTCTTGCCCAGTTCAAAAGTCTAATGCTGTCTCAGGAAGCTAAGCTGTGAGTGAATTTGTCAAATGCAGCCTCTAGCATTGGGGAGTTGGTGATAATCTTGAGACGGAGAAAATGAAATCATTTCTCAGTGCTGTTCATTGCTATTAATCCCTCTTGCTTAGCATAGAAAGTACACTCTCACAGTCACATACAGAGGTAGGTACATGAACACAGAGAGTCCATATGGCAAACACACTGTAATCACTTTGATGAATGAAAGAGTGTATGCCTTTGAAGTGATTGTGTAATTACGTTCAATGTTTGATGTGTATGATGAATATGCCACATTGTAAATTCACAGCTGAGAAAATCTGCTGCAGAATCAACATCTAAATGGTGGTTTGCGGTTTGAAACAACAAGATCCATATGTGTGGTGCTCCATTAAGGTCGACCCTCTCACATTAGGGAAGGGTCACGCCGTGTTTTACATCTGACAGAGGAGCGCTCGGGCTCACGCAACACCTCAGGCATTCCAAAATTACCCCTGAACCCCCAGCACCCCCCCCCCCCCCCAACCGCCCGCCCACTCCGTTTTCTCGCTTTTCTCTGAGGCCACAGTAGTTGAACAGGGGCCAGATACAAAATGCATGAGGGTTAGGCTTCCTCATCTGTTCAATTTCCCAACTATCAGCCCGAGAGATTGCTTGGTTTGATGTGCTTTCGCCACCAAATTATCTTTCAAATGGGAAAAGTCCACTCCCTGCAGATGGAGAGTGAAAAAAATATCCCACTTACGTCACTGTCAAGTTTTTCCACGCCTGTGATTTTTAAGCAGGTGGGCCGCGACTAATAGTTTTGTTCATTTTGACCTTTTGACCAGTAAATTAATTTGATTTTAGTTGTCTTTTAAAGGTTAGGCCCGAGGCTACTCTTTATTGCTTTGCTTCCCTCAACATTGATTGAGTGTTGCTTACGCCTGCTCGAGATTAAACGGTTATAGCGCCTTCACAATGCTGTGTTGACAGGGTAAAGAAAACAGCCGTGTTTATTAGCCCTATTTGTGTTGCTCCTAGTTTGACCTTGTAAAAGACTTGTGCTGCTTCAATCCAATGTTTTCTCAGTTTCTACATAAAAAGACAATACGGCACAATACAAATAATTATCCTCCTTTGAAGAGTTATTTAATTAATCACACACGCACTGGCTGCAGTAACACTGTCTAATGTGATTACTTATTTTCTTCTTCTTTTACAAAGAAACCCATTGTGATTTTCTAAAAAGGCAGCACCACCTCCCTGGATGTGTTTTGATAACATAGTGTGATTGAAGCTGCAGAGCAAAGGAGGAAGATAAACAGCTTGGATACAAAATAAAGCCAGAATTAGCCATGTTTGGGAAACCCAGCCTGCTGAATGGCATTTGATGAAGAGTACACAGCCTGGGCTTGCAGGTTTTTGTTGTATGCAGAAACCCTTTTTACCTAATACTCCTCTGTTTAAATTAAAGGTTATTCCACTTGCTCTTAAGACATCAGATAGCTCACTACTTATTAAATATTCCATTTTAATTTAGATCATTCAATTATTGAAACAGCGAGTCTCGTACTGTAGCAGGAAATGGTTTGTTTTATAGCACAATTGAAAGTTTCCCTCCTTCAGTATGTCCTTGGGTCCTGATTAAGGAAGCGTTCGGTCAAACATGACTCAAACTCCCCTCTGCCTCGGTGGATTTTGTCCAAGCTGTCTCTCTGAAAATCTTGTAGGGCCTTGGTGAGCTTTTTCTACTAATGTGGCAAAATGTCGGTAAAGAACCAGATTAAATGTAAACATTTGAATCTCAGATGTATTAGCTAATACCCCAGGTTGGAACATTGTGCAAATACCACTTTGTTTTCTTGTGTGTGTGTGTGTGTGTGTGTGTGTGTGTGTGTGTGTGTGTGTGTGTGTGTGTGTGTGTGTGTGTGTGTGTGTGTGTGTGTGTGTGTGTGTGTGTGTGTGTGTGTGTGTGTGTGTGTGTGTGTGTGTGTGTGTGTGTGTGTGTGTGTGTGTGTGTGTGTGTTTTCTTCCAGACTCGCTTGAAGCGTCACAGCTAGTGGCTTATTTTTTGTAAAATATGATAACAATATTGTTTTGTTTTCTTTCTCCAGCTCCAGTCATTCACACAGCATACAGTTAATTTAAATTGATCAGTTTCTTTATGCAGGCCTTGACTAATGCTTACTGTGCATGTCCCTGTTTCCAGAGAGCAGATATAGCTGTTGCACCTCTCACCATTACTCTGGTTCGAGAGGAGGTGATAGACTTTTCCAAGCCCTTTATGAGCTTGGGGATCTCCATTATGATAAAGAAGCCCCAAAAGTCCAAGCCTGGCGTGTTCTCCTTCCTGGACCCGCTGGCCTATGAGATCTGGATGTGTATAGTGTTTGCCTATATTGGGGTGAGCGTGGTCCTGTTCCTGGTCAGTCGGTTCAGTCCTTATGAGTGGAACCTCGATGAACAGGACGAGACCAAAGACCCCCAGACGCCCCCAGATCCGCCAAATGACTTTGGTATCTTCAACTCCCTCTGGTTCTCTCTGGGCGCCTTCATGCAGCAGGGCTGTGACATCTCCCCCAGGTGGGTACGCTTTGATAGACACAAGGGCAGCAGAGAACTTTAGAGCACAGTACTCAGTGGTGGGCGGGAACAAAGGATATTTATCTCAAAACTGCACTTTTGAGTTTCTGTGCTTTACTTCAGTTTTTTTTTTTTTGTTAAAATGATTACAATACAATTGATTCCACTTCCATATTTCCATTAAGGTTCCCACTACTCGTTATTTTGAAGCATAGATTTGAAGTTGGCATATGACTATTTTTATTTTCTTGAATATAATTGGCTGTTCACGGTTTATGACGACAACTTGGAACCAGCAGTTCATATCCTGTCGATGTTTGACATTTTTAAATCAAGAAAGATTGAAAAAATGCGTATAGAATTGTGTTTCTTTCTAAAGGCTTTGTTTCTACACATTCTACAATTCAGTAGGTTGAATGAGATTCATTCGTTTTTGCAACTGCACTGAGGCAAAATTCAACAATACGTTAACATTAAAAAGGAAATGTGCCTTGAATTCTCAAGTATTTTTTAAAAGAAAGTACTCCAGTTCTTAAACTAAAGTAAACATGTAACTGATCAACTTTCATTTGAAACAGAGTAATATTTAACCACGAGTATCTAAACTCAAGCATCTTCATTTCCTGTCCTTTATTTTAGGCGTCCATTATTTGAAGGTAAACTGATTTCACATTTATTGCAGCTAATATATGTCTACCTGAATGTGTCAGTTTGTAAGCTGAATTTCTCATTATCAAAATGGTTTTATCAATACTGTCTTAAGGGTATGAAGCTGAACTTTGACCCTGTTTTATTTTTCACAGCCAATTCAATCCTTTTGTTATTTTAGCCAGTGTGCTACTTTTCCTGAAAATGTGCTGTTTTTAGAGTGCTGACGCAGGTTTATTTTTCAAGTAAATTCTGATTACCGGTGCAATTAGGTACATTAAACACAAACTGTTAGCATCTTAGCAGGTGGATGGGCGCCACATGTCACCGTGTAATTACATTCTGTCTTTCCCTGCCATCAACCTCCCTCTCGCAGATCTCTGTCAGGCCGCATCGTCGGTGGTGTGTGGTGGTTCTTCACCCTCATCATCATCTCCTCCTACACAGCCAACCTGGCTGCCTTCTTGACAGTGGAGAGGATGGTCTCTCCTATAGAAAGTGCCGAAGATTTAGCTAAGCAGACAGAGATAGCGTATGGCACTCTGGACTCAGGCTCCACAAAAGAGTTTTTTAGGGTGAGTAGAAGCAGAAAAGTGCACACACACACACACACACACACACACACACACACACACACACACACACACACACATACACACACACACACACACACACACACACACACACACACACTCACACACACACACCCACACACACAGCAACTTACTAAACAGACAGTGCTTTTCGAAGTCTTCCTATTTGCACTCAGGCCTGTTGCATCGTGAGGACCATTTTGTGTAATGTCCCTAATAAACTCATCCTTGCAGCTTTTCCATTTTGTACCTCTAGTACAGCACTTTTGACCCGCACAAGATTGCCCCAAATGAGGCATGTTGACAGAGAGTCAGTTCTTGAACTCTTATGACATCAACGTTACATTTATTCGGCACAACTGCAGTGTGCAACCTTGAGGCACTGGGGCTGTCAGCAGAAAGTGTGATAACAACGTGGAAGACTCTGAGGTGATAAAAACAGGAGGCTAATCAAAGCACCCACATCAGGCTCAAACTCAGAAGGGTCAGCTCATGAAATATAATTAGCTTGCTAGCCATGGCTGGCAAATTGGACCTGATGAAGAAGAGCCCTGTAGGTCAAACCGAGCCGTCTGAAAGACGGTTCAGATGGAATAAGCAATATGTCCGTCGGCATGAGGGACTGGCCGAGCAATTAAGTCATAAATTAAGTAAAATCTGAAGCGAAGGTATATAAGACTCTGAAAGCCAACCACATGCTCCCTATGCAGGAGTTAAGGTACGCATCTCGAAGGCGATCAACCTTCCGCTGTGAAATCCATAGATGTTTCATCCTGTGGCGTGGCTGCGTCGGCAGTCCAATCCTTTGCATTTGCAGAACAATCAGTTAAAAATAATTAATGAAACAGCACTCTGCCTGTGATGACAAAAGGCAACATGACAGTCTTTTATCCTGTACTCCCTCATTACTCATCAGCAGGAGATAGAACAAATCATATGTTTCACAGCTGCAGCTGTTGGCAGAAAGAGCCATTTCTTTGTATTACCCCTGGGTTGAATTGCCCGGAACAAGGAAATGCAAAATCAAATCCATGTTGTTTTTTCTGACAAAAAAGGACATGATAATGTCAACAGAGTTTGATATTTAAAGGGGTTGTGTCTGAGGAGCTGGCTGTAAAACGATGCGAAGGTAATATATCTTGGGAAACATGGCACATGACACGCGTGACAACAGCACTCTATTCTCCATACAGCACTTTACAAAGGCTGTCATAACTCTTCCCTTCATCCGACATGCGCAGGTGTATATGAGGGATATGTCTTTGCACCACAGACAGATAGATGCCAATTACAGATTAGGTTTCAGGCTTGACAATGAATCCACCACGGGTCTGATGGTAGAAAAATCTGAGTGGTGGTCGGAGAGTCGCAGTTTCCCTGTGTTCTGTATAACGAGTGTCCTAGTTACATCCCCATGTCTTCAAATAGCAAATGACATGTGTGGACTGATACTCCAAGGGACTTTTAATTAAAGCTGTAGAAGGCTGACACGCAAAAAGAAACCCCACACTAATTAATAAGAGTTAAAGTTCTATTTCAGATCTGTTTTTCAGGGAAATACATTCAGGCTTAATTAGACCCATACGGCATCAGCCAGCTGGAAGTTTTAAGTCAAGTCCAATGTTTCAAACAAGACATATGTCATCATCTCTGAACCCCCCCTCCGGGCATTAATGTTTGATGATTTCATCTGGTTTAGTTCCCAAACACTGCTTGACAAGTAGCACACAAACACAGGAATGTAGGAAAGAAGGAAATAAAGAAAAAATCAGCTCCCTTTTTAAGCAGAACAAATATGCAGTCACTTGAAAATGGCTTGCAATAATGAGCAATAATGAGCAATAAAACTCTTGTTTTGATTATTCATGTTTTTCAAATCAGGTAATTTATCTCTTTTGGTCTTCTGTGGTAATTCCTCCAAGACTGTAGCCCCTGATAAATTGACAGTTTGGACGTAGGGCTCGTTGCCTATTTGGTGGAGAAGAAGCGGAGGAGTTTTCAAAGGAAGAGATATTCGAGTAGAGCCCCTAGAAAGCCCCTAATTCTGCCGATCACAACCAAGTAGGACAGCTGGCCTGGGAGCCGGTTGACGACGTGCCCAGTGGAAGCCTGAAGTGCTCTAGGCGCCTGGCAGGGCGGCTCTACTTTCTTGGCTCCTCTTCCCCAGACTGCCCTCCATGTTTGGGCACCAGCTTCTCCTCTGTCTCCAGCTTTTACCTTGAAACAATGTGGGATAGCTCCAAGCTTTGCGGTGTTCTTCCTCAAAGTAGCAGCTGTCATGCGCCGCCGCACCACTGTGTTTTGTTTCATCATTATAATTCTTATCAAGGATCTCTTCATTCAGTCAGTCGGATATTTGTGTTTTGGTGGGTAATTAGAAAATGATGAGTTGTACCAGCGAGGCCATGTGTATCCTCTTGATGAGGTTTTCTGCCATCAAAAGGCTTACATTCTGAATTGTATGTTGAAGGAGAAGCTGGGTTGTAATAATGGCTGCGATGATAAAAATGGGCTGATGTGGCTGTTTAATTACGTGTAAAGACCGGGGTGAGAGCATCAAAGACAACCACACTGCTGTCCCATCATGCACCTCATTTAACAGCGTAACAATGAAAGAATGATAATTGCGCAGAGAAATGGGACCGCAGCATTGTTTTCTGCTCCCCCTCAAAAGACTATACATCACCCAAAGCCTCAACAGCAAACATCATGCATCTTACTGATCTGCAGGTGTGGGGGGGAGGGGAAACAACAGCTTGAGTGCAGTCACCAATGCATTTTACTAAGCATGAAAATCAATTTCACGTCTCAGCTATCGTGGCACAGACACTAAAGCTTCTGCATGGCTCAACACAGTGTTTAATAAGTTGCTTTTTTATGCACAGCAGACCTGCATGAAGAGTCACTGGCAGGGAGATTTGTACAAGAAAGCCGAAGGTTGCCCTGCAATCATATGCAGTCTATTGTAGCATAATTCCCCAAGCTCTTGTCACACTGTGTTTCAATGCAGTGCTGAGTGAAGGGGAGGCTCCTGTAAAGATTAGAGCCTGTTTGCATAAAAGGAAAAGCTGACACAAGTGATGATAGAGTAGTGCGAGTTAGGCATAACCTCAGAGGGAATGTACCACCCTCAGAGGGCCTTCTCCAACTTTAGATGAGAAGCAAACAGCAGGCGCTAGAGGAGCTATTGGAGTCCAGCAACAAGCATCAAAGACGACCAATTGGTATTCAGAGCGTAGCGTTTGGCACTTCAATGACAAAGTACACCACCAGAGACTCAACTTTCATTGCTGCATGCTTGAGATACAGGTAGTCCTGGGCATACAGGATATTGGGGGGGAAGTGGTAATGTCCACAAACAAAATGGAAGTGAAGTAGAAGGAAATGTAGTGGTGGGTGTTCGGAGATGGAATTCAGATACATGAGCAGTGGAGCGTTTGTCGGAGCAAGCATTATGAAAGCAGCCTGCGACGCCAAAGGGAGAATAAAAAGCACTTCGAAGGGTAGTGGACTGAGGTCTGGAGACGCCGCATAACTGAGAATCAATACAGATTAACAGCTCATTTAGAATGGAGAGGGCAATTGCTTTGACTTTGGTTTTTAATCACTTGTTCCTTTTCGGACATATAATGACATTTTTGGGGGGGATTTCAATCTCATCTGTAGATTTACTAATGATCTGTCAAAAAGCACTTTGATGCAAATCTCTCTGTCTTTATTCCTGTCAGTTCTGTCTTTCGGTGTATCACAGAAAACTTTACAGACTAACATATTTCTGTCCAGTAAGCTTTTTATCTCTAGACTGCGAAGAGATAACCACAGGGTAGTCTGTTGCATCATCTAAGGCAGTGGAAGGCCTATAGTGACATGTAGGCAAAAGTGTTTGGGGTGAAAATCAAATCATTTAACCGTACTGTAAATAACAATTTCAAAACAGAGGTCACCAATCTCTGTAAACCTTACCTAAAAAGAATCCACTTATTTTCATTCAGGGCCCTTTGGATTACTGCACTGTTTTAATTCCATGGGTTTAGCAGATTTGCATCTTACAATAACAGCTTCTGTTTATTGCATGCGGGAAAACTACCAAGTAGAACTCACAGACCGTTAGCATATGAGTCATGCATTATTTAAGTCCTTCAATTCTGATGGGGAAATATAAATCTCCCCTGAATACCTAATCCTAAAACTGTTCTTTTTAATTGTTTCTCATATTGTCATTTTCAACTTCTCCGGACAGCATACAGTCAAATGAGCTGCTGGATGATCATAATAGGGGAGCATTTGCAATAACAAAAAGGGAAAAGTGTGTAGAAATGTTACTCCTGTTGCCGGAGCTTATATCTGCAGAACCCTCAACGCTAGGTATGTAAACAGTTGCTATAAAAGTACGCAATATAACATTTAAAGCCTGTTCTGCTGCCCCTTAGTGGCCCAAAAATATCTTGGTTTAAAAAAAGAGATATAAGGAAAAATATCAATGGCCTGCCCCTCCAACACTTAACTGAATATTAAACTAAAGTGACATCCTTGTAAAAAGAAAAAAGCAAGAAATAACTTTCCGATGCTTTTATGTAATTCCCGACAACTGCTCTAAGTAAACCTTCATTTGTATGTGCATGCATTAGTCAGCATGAGTGCCTGAGCCTTCATATCGGCAGGGGATTTGGACATGGTGATTCAAAAGACTTCTGCCCAGAAGAATAATAAGCACCCACCAGTTTCCCTCCGGCTTCCCTCTAACCTTGTCTCGCTGACGGCAAGTCATGCTCTCCCTGCTGCTTGTCTTAGGACACCAGGCTGGAATAACAGACATAAGTTTGTCTTTATGACTATTGCAAGACGGAAGGAGGCTCAGCTTCAGACAGATTTGCAGGAGTAACGCCTACACAGATGATGTAAGTGTGTCTCCTAGGTAGGAGGGTTGGCTGAGATCCACTATTAAGGTACTTCATTATAGGCAGATCAACATAACGATTGCTTCAGTATCATTAAAGACATTTACAGGAGGAAGATAGGGCTGTTTGCAAGTTACGCAACATACATTTGTGTTTCTTTTCACGTTATACCTGTCAATGTGACCACTCCCCATTAATTGCCTGAAAGCACATTTAGAATACAGCAATTTGTTCTAACAGGGCCATTATATGGTGTGAAGGAGAGCCACATGTGCAAAGCTGTATTTATGGCAGTCTATAATTGCTTAACAAATGGTCTGTTCATTGATGATGGACTTTTGCACTCATTATTCCCTAATTACATTTTAAATTACCGCCGTGGGAATGATTGCATTCAAAAGACAATGGGATTAGACTTCCTATGCATTGTGTTTATGTTTGTATGTGTGTGATTATTCATGTTTGTGTGCTAGCAGTCAATAATCAAATATCTCTCTTTTTTCTGCTTGGGTATCTCACTGTATATTTGTTTGTCTTTTTCTCTCTATATTAGAATCTGTGTTAAACTTCTCGCTGGTGGTGACTTTAGTTGGAGACGAATCTGCCTATTTCGGTTGTAGTCGCACTTGGTCCCCGCTCTGATATTGATGAATTGACTTCATAAAGCACTGAGGCAGCACACTCTGTCGTCAGTAATCAATGCCCAGATCCATTCTTTTCTCTTCATTCGAGGAGGCGTCAGGGAGCTTTCCCACTGCCGAGCAGATGAGCCCGGGGTCTTTGGGGAAATTCTCCTCTAAACCAGTGTCCTTTCCATGATGTCTCACACATGCAAATTGCATACATTTAACAAGATTGTCAACAAAAACATCACATCCAACTGTGACTGCCCCACCTATTCGTTGCATTAAAGTAGAACGGCAATCACCCCAACTTGAAGGCTCTTTCATCCGAGCAGAGGACATTCATCATGTAGACTTTTTAATTTGTGTTATGTTGCTGTCTCATCTCATCCTCACCCTTGGCCTGATGCTCTGTGACAGATGCCTGCAAACAAATCATATATGATTACATAAAGCCAGTAAAGCACTTTAGTTAGGTCAAGGTTAATGCTTTTGTTTATTAATAGAAATCCATTAGAGATGGATATGCTCTTGTTAAGGGGGCTTTTACCAATTGAGGACAGTGAAGGGTCTGTGTACTGATCAGTGTGTTTGGACAGTATCCAGTTATGTAGCTGCACTTATCTTCAACTTTCAGTAATACATTTCCACTACACATCATCTTTACTGTTATTTTAGCATTCCTAATTTACTGAATAACATTATATGTGTTATGACTAACCATTGCTGACATAATTGATGAACCTGTGGATATATTTTCAATCAAGCACATCTCTGTGTCAAGTGTCATACACAGTTAGAAATGACCATTACAATCTTGACATTTCCGAGCTGAGTATTTCGTAAAAGAAACAGTCCAATTTTGTAACAGAAACATTTGAGAAAGGGCATCACCCACATGTTCCCTATTTAGCTACACTAGCTTAAAATGCCAGTGACTTTAATAAAAAGCTCCATTATCATATAGTACTTTAACAGTGCTAATGTCATTCTTAGATGAGGAACATTATACAAAATGACTGCTTGAAAAACATCAGCATGTAAACATTGTTCTTTTGAGCATATTAGCATGCTAATGTAAGCATTAAGCTCCATCATCGCTGTGCCCCACAGTCAATCAACTAATGAATTCATTGACCTATCATTTAACATGTTTACAAAATGGGGGACTTGTGGCCTTGTCAGGTTTAGCATACTGGAGGGGAGTATCTCTGGTATATCCACAGCTTGTCCATAGTACATACACAAAGACAGTAGATCTTTTGATTCAGCCATTCCTTAAAAACCATCCAACCCTTCGTCTTTCTCTAGCCTTAATAAAAGGAAGCACATTTGAAATGGGGGATCCAGACTGAGGAACACACTGTGCCACTCGGGAACTGGCTCATCTCTGCTTGGACCAGGATCTGTTCAAAGTGTGAAATGCCTATGCCAAAATAAATCCAGCGGCATTGAATAATTTAATTGATTCTTATTATAGATAGCGCTCAACTCCCACAGATTTTACAGGCTCGCTAAGCTGACCCCAGGCGCTGGGGAAAGGCTCATCTGTGTCACTTTGATGGGTTGCCTTGTGCCTGTGTAATGCTTTCTTGTTCACTTCTCTTACTTCTTATTGGTTGCCTCTGAGTCACAGCTGAAATGTTACATTAAGGACGCTGTTTTTAAAATAAATGACTTTAATAAGTTCTACAAGTTACATTAAGGCTATAAACCGAGGCTCAAATTCACCAAGAGACCTTTGCTAGTTTCCATATAAATCATCATTATCCACACTTCACTGACATAAAAGCTTAATTATTGAAGATATTGTTGCATAGCCAAGTGCAAATATCCCAGTATTTCGACTAAAACCCAATTTGCATGACATTATGTACAGTACAGGTGACGTGTGGTCCTCATTCACTCGGTGAATGTGAGCCTCAAGCTGCAGCATAATATTTGAAGAGCACGTTTATGCTGATGAAGATAAATGGATTTTGAACATTTTTGTACTTCATGATCTCGTACAAGTCCATGAGCTGTATTTTTTATAGAAGTATTTAAAGATATCACACTGTCTTTTTTACAAGATGTCTATAAATACTTCAAAATGCCAGTTTAAAGAAAGAGATCATTAAGCACAACAATCCTAAGAAGTCCATTACATGTATATTCATTTTTGGGATGTTTCTAAATGACTTTTCTCTTTTTTTTTCTCCCTGCACAGCGATCCAAAATAGCAGTGTATGAGAAGATGTGGTCATACATGAAATCCGCTGAACCCTCAGTGTTTGTTAAGACCACACCCGATGGCGTAGCCCGGGTACGAAAGTCAAAAGGCAAGTTCGCCTTCCTCCTCGAGTCCACCATGAATGAGTACATTGAGCAGCGGAAGCCCTGTGACACCATGAAAGTGGGTGGCAACCTCGACTCGAAAGGATACGGTGTGGCGACGCCCAAAGGCTCAGCATTAGGGTGGGTGGAATAATATAACAATATCCTCCCTGTTATAGTATTCCACCTACCCTGATGTCCCCTTGTTTTCATTCTCTTGTTGTTTTTTCATGGACACAGAGGTAACGGTAGTATGCTTTTTAATGCACTTGGATACTAAGGTTTAATGATAAGAAATGTATTTTCTATATATTTTATAGATGTGATAAGAGTTGCTAATTTATAGTCAAGTAATTCAATCCAGGTGATAAGGTAAAGCTAAGAATCATTTCACATGTATGTCTCTCTTACTGTTGCTTTCTCTCTCCTTCGATCTCTCCTTCTGTCCTGTGCTGTCCTACCTGACTGTTGTGTTGTCACTTTTAATTTAACAGTTCAATGGTTTTTCAATTTAGCCTTTTAAAAGCTGCGCTGTCACTTGTGACGAATGTTAATTGCATGATGTTTGTTGTTGTTACTTTTTCTTCTCAATGACAAGTGTCCCCATCCTGCACACTTCAGTTCTAAACTACGTAACCCTTCATGCCACCTTTTCCAAGATTTAACACTGTCTTTACCTTTTATAATGAGCCTTTCTTATCTCTCCATATTCCTTAAATTCTTAAACAATTTGTCCTTTCCTAGACCATTCTGATTTACAGATTCTGTGCATAAGCCCCTGCTTTCATATTGGTAGTATCACTACCATTTCTTATAATTATTATTATCATGATGCTTAGTACAATTATTACTTTGCATTAGATTTCTCACGGACCTGTGCATTTTCTTACAAGTTATGTTTTATCGTTTCAAGAAATGCTGTTAACCTGGCAGTTTTAAAACTGAATGAGCAAGGCCTCTTGGACAAATTGAAAAACAAATGGTGGTACGACAAGGGAGAGTGCGGCAGCGGGGGAGGTGACTCCAAGGTCAGCCTCGATGTCACCACAATCGGGTACTATAGTGCAGAGTAATCGGCAAGGCTTTTACGACAACCCAACCATTACCATAGCAAACGTTCCCCCCAGCCAACCTACTGCTGCCCCGCGGCACATCACCAAATGTACTCATCCTCTGACCGGCACTTTAACATCTCAGATCAAACTGAGGAGCATTTGTTTAGCAGACAGAAAAAAATCACATGTGTTGTTATCGGACAGTTATGTTTCTAGAATAAAAATTATGGAGTTTGCTTTGAAGCTAGTGGAATTTCTAAAAAAGGGAGACTATCCGGTGAATGTGGTTGCCCTACAATTGTGAAAGGTGGGCTTTTTCAACCTTCCACATGTGCAGGGCAGATCGCTTAGTGGCAGATTGAACCACTTGTCTAGGTAGGTTTGACAGTTAGAGTAGGACCAGTTGAAGTCACACGCGAGAAGAGGCCTCTTAGTTAGCTTGTGACAGAATATTTGACATTGAAAAAGGCAGAACCGTCCAGTCTTCACTCCTGAAGGTGAAGTTGGCTAATCCTCCAAAATACATAGCTTCGCAGTACTCCAACCGCACAGCTGCTTCGCACCCATGACACTGGCCCAGGACCCTTGAGCTTTAAAGCCATCGAGATAAATTCTCCTTAAAACCTCAAAATGGCTGCTCAGCTGAGGCCGACAGGGAAGCAAGGGGAACAGCGGCGTCTTGAGGGGAATAAGCATTACAGGCAAACGTGAGAATTCTAATTAAACAAAAAGACCTATGGTTCCTTTTTAATGAGTCATGTCATGAACCGCCTTTGGTTTGCTTCCTCTGAATGCAGCTCCTACCCCACTCAGTAATAACCCAGCTGTGACCCTTTTGACCACCAGATCCCTCCCTTTTTCTTCTGTGGTTAAATGATGAATTATGTTCTCCTTTGTGGTAGCTAATGGAGCCAATTGTGAAACCCCACTCCACCATGACAACTTAATATAATGTTGCTTAAATGATGTGCCATGAAGAATTGTGATATTTTCACAAAATTACATATATAGCAGTAGCATTATATACAATACAATCCAGGTGCATTTAGTGACAAATGATGCTGTCAGCACAAATGTGATGATATAGATCAGGTAATTGGTTAGATTACAGACAAGCCGCAAAGTCCTGTGGACTGCAGATTGTGTCATTACACTCTTAATATCATTTGTCATGGATTGGCCGAGAGCACAATGAACAGTTAAGCTGCAGCCGGTCAACTCTGAAAGAGCATCACCACAGGCATGGATCAAATAATGTCTTGCTAAATGCCCGTGGTTTATTTCTGAAAAGGAATTTGTATGTCACCTTTTTCAATGTTTGCATTGCTAACATTGCTATGTTCTGTAGTCACTGAGCCGAGGAGGCCTCCCTGTGCTACTGATGCTCAGGAGCCATTTGAAAGCATCTGTCTCTTGCGCCGTCATCAGTGATTTATCATGCACAGGTATGTACAGTCTGTTTCCTGGCTTATTTTGGCTCCCCAGGACTCAGCGGAAAGGCCTGATTGGGTGGAATAAAGCGGCCCGGAGCGCTCTGCTCCAAACGGGGTATCGCTTCACCCCGTCCCGCTCACAGCTCGGTGTTCCTACAAACATCCGGAGATGCACATAATCATGCACACAGCTGCAAGCGCACACAGTAACCACTGCTCTCTCCTGCCCTCAGGCCCAGCACAGTGCAGCCTAGATTGAGTTTCAGACACAGAGCGTGTTACGGGGTAATTGCATTGTTAATCAATGTCTCTCCGAGGCAAGACAATGGTCTGGTCCTCACAGTCCGTTCCTCCTGATCGGCTATTAGGGATATACAGTGGTGTTATGTTCTCCCAGTGCATTATGCATTGCATGTGTCCCCTTCAGGGACATTGTTCCAAGGGACAACAGGTCACTCCTTTATCGATGCACTGTTTTTCTTTGCTTCTTTTTCCCACTTTTACACAGAGGGATTGACCTAAACCACAAATGATCCACTGTTATATTACCACTACAAAGTCTTTATCCAGCTCTTTCCCCCTAGAGTAATCCAGCGCAATAGAACATTATGATAATTTATGATTACACCGAGTAGTTTGACGTCCTATAAATATCAAACGGCACAAAACAGCTGTGTCAGACATCAGATTATGCAGCTACAGGCAAATATGAGAGGAATTATTCCACTGATACTTCTGAGCTTAGTCCTGCAGCTCAGTGCGGTTTGGTTGGGACACACTCATCTGACACTAATCTGGAGTAATTGGGAGATACATTTTTCTTAGCGATGTGATGGGATAGAACACGTAAGAATTAATTAAGCTTTTTACTTTTGGGCATAGCTGCTTGAATGAGAAATTGGTCGTGATACCTGCAGAAGTTATTGTTGTCATGCCGGCGACAGTAGGATTTAGCTGATATTGTGGAAGTAGAAAAGTAGATCTGTCATTTCTCTGTTTGTTAAACCAAGCTCCTGTTTGACTGATCTTGTAAAAGCTGTTCAGAAAGCCCCTGTGATCCGTTACCCGCCCCCAACAATGTACCCTGATATTGGTATTCATAGACCTGCAGATTGTACTTGCGGTACCTGCTCGTCGCCCTGGTAACAGCGTCTGCCGATTACTCAAAGCGATATGGGTAGGTCCTGGCTTTAGCATAGGGGTTATAAAGGTAATAGTTAGAATGCCTGCTCTCTGTGATGTTGAACAGCCAGGTGTCCTGCCTTATCGCTTTGTAAAGTATGTAGTAGTTTAAAAGTTGAATAACATAAAATAACATAATATAATGTTATTTATGTTATTTCCCACGTGAAGAACTCCTGTAAACCTTGCAGTATTGAAACTCAGTGAACAAGGCATCTTAGACAAGCTGAAAAACAAATGGTGGTACGATAAGGGTGAATGTGGAACCAAGGACTCTGGAAGTAAGGTCAGTCGCTGCAGGTCTTTTGTACTGATTCCAAATTGCATTTTGACGTACTGTTCATATGCAAGACAAGACTTCTCTGACATCTATAGTGTACATTTTGTTTATTTGCTACACATACTTTTTTCTTTTTTTATATAGCTCAGTTTTTCTGCCACAAACTGTAACACAGTTCACATGTGGCTTTAACACAAGGCACTGTTTTCCCAAATCCATATTTTCTCTTGTTTTGCCATAGAAATGAGACATTCTTTGATGCAATATAAAACATAGAAACTCTTTTTAGTGGAAACTGTAATGATAATAATGTGGGGAAAGTGCCTTTCAGAAACACTATTTAAATTGAATCACAGCAGTTAATCGTTGTTGATAAATGCTATTTTTGCTCATTTTCACTCTTAACATTCATGATATTTGACCATTATGCTGCTGTTCCTATTTACCAAACTGTTAATGAAAATTTGATTTATTTGTGTTGTTACTAGTTTGCATCGAGATGTGTCTATTAGATTCTTTGGCCTCCTGTGGTGTGATGAACAAGCAAAGCCTCTTATTGTGATGACTTACTGAAATTCAACTTCTCTCAGCGGCGAGAGCGCCGTAGGGTGTCCTCTAATTCTTGTGGCTGCCTGGAGTTGAAGTTAGAGGCTGTTTGCACATTATAAGAGGTTTCGGGAATGTAATAAACCCACTATTTAACCCTCTGAGATACAGTCAAAGCCTCAGATTACAGGTCAGGGATTCCAGTAGCTTTACGATACCTTCACACTCATAGGGTTAAACTGCAAATAGTAAAACTCTGATGATCAAATTTTTAATGAATATGTTTGGTAGGTAAGCAGCAGCAAAATGGTTTGATCTTTAGTGTTTTTAAAACTTTAATTGAGCTATCATTCATCTATTATGAATTTGACTGTACTGTATGACAATGTTGCCATGAGAGTTATACGTACATGTCGCCAAGAGAATTTAAAAAAAAGATAGGGATTTTCAGAGCCGTCGACCTATGCGATACTGACCAGCTTCCTTACATGGTCAAGAGCAGAAGCCACTTTACTTTCATGCAGTGTAGGGAAGGCAAAGCTCTACATTCACCAGCAGTTGGCTTCTTTCTCCTCAGTGGAGAATGGTTTGACTATGGCAGTCGGAAGTTTCTCTGCAACTTTGTGACAGTCATAGGAGAATCAGTTCAGTCAAAGATTCTAGCCTTAGCACCTCATTACATCTTCAATTTTTTGGTTGCTTGTAGCTGTTAGTGTCCATAATCTGCCATACTATATATATGTAGCCCCAGTAAGATAGAGTATGATGATGTTGTACCAGAGCAGTTTAAGCCAAGGCTATGTGAGGATAAGTTTGAAAGATATAGGCTGTATTTTTTCTGCTGCCCATGCTCCACTGCAAAACTCTTAACTGTGTTATTCACTTTCCTCCAGGACAAGACAAGTGCTCTCAGCCTAAGCAATGTGGCTGGTGTCTTCTATATTCTGGTTGGAGGGCTGGGGCTGGCCATGATGGTGGCTCTGATAGAGTTCTGTTATAAATCACGGCAAGAAACCAAACGGCTGAAATTGGCCAAGAATGCCCAGAATTTTAAGCCGGCTCCCCCGACCAACACCCAGAACTTTGCCACATACAGAGAAGGCTACAACGTATACGGAACCGAGAGCGTTAAGATCTAGAGGTACGTCTGCTCACTGTCCCCGAGCGTTGTGGGAGATGAATCATTTAGCTTCCTGTCATATCAGTGAGAGTGAATAATAAATGTGTTTGTGTTGTTTCTGCTTGTGAAATTGTTTATGGTTGTCATGTTTGGTTCAACAAAACACACATGCCCACTTAAATACAAAACTCGGAGATATTGCTTATGCTTTGTAGCGTATAGCGGCATGAGTAGTGCCTAGGTACACAACCTCGTGTATCATGCAGGGAACTGCTGTAGAGCGATCATACAATCGAGATGGTCTTTTATTCTGTGTTTATAATCAGATGCTTAAGTGTCAGTTTAATCCCAAATTACATTAAAAAAACAAATGTTCTCACTTACTTTATCAGTGGTGTTCACAGCTTTAAAAAAAAACAAAAAACTTTTTAGGTGGTATTGATTGATATATTTCCAATGTTTGCTCTACAACAAGCTGTTTATGACTTTATAAAGTTTAAAAGGCAACATAATATGGACTATAACTCAAATATTCAGTCTGTTTTGGTGTCCATCACTTTCTGAGGGAAATATCTGTCTTTTTATCTGCTACGTACTTATATATTGTTACCAGCTGGTCACTGACTGTATCTGTCATTCAGTGCTGGGCAGGCAGCGTGAAGTGATTTGTTAGAGCTTAAAATCAAAAAGCTGGAAGTTAAATCTAAACATTTTTGAGTGCGGTAAAAGTGAATCAAAACAGAAAAGCTGTGAGTCAGAAAACCAAAACAATGTGTGGTGCTTAGTGGATCTGAAGAGTTAAAATAGTCATTTAGTTATATATTTGTGTATAGTTACCCATTGTTAATTTAAGTAATTAAAACACTATTAGTCCAGACATACCCTGTTTCTCTTACTGCAATAAACTACAGAGCACTGTGAAAAGCTAAGTGTGACTATTTCTTCAGTAAAAATGTAAGAGGCAATAAAAGCTCACTTGCACTTTAATACCACTAGGAGTAAGTTGGAATTTAATAACAACATTTTTATACAGCAGTTCTACAGCACTTAACTTAAAAAAGGGCCCTGTTGAGTTTCACTGTTAAATAAATTGTTAGTTTTGCATTTGATTCGACTGATGGCATGTGTGTGTTCTGTTGCTTCTGATGTACACCAAGTGCTAAATCTGTGTTTACAGAAGTACAGCTGTACACCAGAGCAACGAAATGTGAAGCGCCTGATAACAGATTTTAGATTGTTTACATGAGAGACTTCTGCATTTGTGATTTTTGTCTGCGTTTAGCTGGATTGTTGTTTTATGTTGCCGTGCTGTCAATCAAATATGATCAAACCCCATATACAAGCTTCTAATATACTGAGTTGTTCAGGGTTAAACTTTTGTAATGAGTCCAACGTATATATGAATTTGATTTAATATTTAATTGTTGCTTATTTAGTCGCATATATTTGCTGTTATTGGGATAAACGAAACATTTCAAACCTAGTTTCAATGGGCTTTAAAGAATAAAAAAAGTACCTTGTTTCATTTGCATGAGAAGTCTTTCAACTTAGATCAAAGCAGATAACATTTGTATTCTTTAATGGATTAAGCTGAAATATTGAATACTCATACGCTACTTTTCAGCCAACATTAGTCACAAACAAAAGTATTTTCCTGCCAATAATGATACACTTCAACTTTTCCCGTGTTTGTTTCTGCCCTTTGTGTCGACACAGGTTTAGGAAACATTTCCATTGTCCCTTACAACTGTGACTGAACATCTAAGAAAGGACAGGAACACGGGGATTGAGCTCCAAGCCAAATCCTCGGGGCGTACACGGCACGATAATCTGCAATGACGACACGACTGGACTGGTCACGGGAAGAGCCGAAACGGTTCCCTCCTCTCAGTGCCTTATGGAACTCTGAGTCCAATCAATGCAACTCATTCGCAATGATATTGCTTTTTGCTTGAAACTCATACAAAACAGAAGAATGGTGCAGTGATCGAAATATATAGATAGATATATATATATAATACATTTGACATGTTACAATGAATGAGAGAACTAAAGCCATCCTTTGCAACCCTAAGCACACTTTGAAGTGCCAGAAAGACGACTAATCTTATATGACAAGTGTCTAATTGGTTTCTTGTAATCAATATGATCAGATTACTCTTCATCCTTCTGCTGCCAGATTTTCACTGGTTATATGTGTTAAAATATTTAATTTTATTAGATCTATTCAGTGCACTGTACGACACTGGTTATAAGACAATAGCTTTTATACTGCTGTAAGTCACTGATCGTGACCTTGTACTTATTTTAAAAGACAGATTGATCTGCTGGAGCGAAATGCCATTCAGCGCAAAACAATTCCTGAGTGTGTTGTTTGTACTCTCAACTCTGGTGCTGCTGCCACTGTCTTCTGAACGTTTCATGGGACTCATGAAGAAGAGACAATGATCTGGTTTGGCTTTTACGCACTACAGAACCAGGTCATAATTCGCACTTCCAATACTGCCAAGAGTGTGTTTTGTATGACAGAGTGTGTAAAGCAAAGGAAAAAATAAATAAAATCTGATCTACAGTTTGTAAAGTATCAAAGTAGCGCTGACTCACTAATGTTCGCAGCTCCACACAGTCTTTCCCTGAAGTCTAGAATCCTTCAAGTCTCTTGTACATGAAAGTAAAACCAAACAGAAAGGGTAATTCAATTGTAGATTAACTGCAATCCAATTAAAGGATAACAGTAATGGCTTTTAAACTGTAGTGTGTTTGGATTACCTGACCATTTTCTTTAACAATTGCACATTTTACAACAAGCTGTGGTTTGCTTTTAATTTGATTTCCTTTAATGAACATTACAGTGTTTGGTGATTTCACTTAATAAATGAAAAATATATGAATACAATGGAAAATAGATTTGTACAAGGTTAAACCAGGGAGAGCCCTGAAGCTTAGCACATTTCCATATTGCTGTGATCATTTCCCTTCTTTCAAAAAGACTGTGATTCCATAGGATTTAGGAAGATAGCTATCTAATCAACTATTGGCAGATCATTTTATATTTCAAGAAAAAAGTGAAGAAACCGATAATGTGAATAAAAAAATAAGGAACGATTTGAGAAAGATGTGTACATTTAGATAAATGAGAACTATTTATACAACACGATTGAAGATTGGATTCACTGTTTTTCTTTTTTTTTCTACGAAATTGCATGTGTGAATTCAGTGATGCTTGACGAGCTCTGCTACTCACAACCCGACCTTAGGTTAACGTTAGATATCCAGCCCTGGTTATTCTTTTGCAAATCAGTTAAATCCTTTATTTTTATTTCATTCACGCCTCACCTTCTGCAACGAAAAAAGAAAAAAAACTCAAATCACCAGGCATAGTAGTGGGTACAAAAGAGCAAGCGATGCATGCATAATTTGCTGAACCTCATTAGTGAGGCGCTGTACAGAGAATTTTAATACATTTTGTAAATAAAATGTACAGAAGTGCTCCTGTGTCTGGGTCAATGTCATTTCACAACACTATTTGAACCTGGATATGTCTGTGGCCTGCAGGTCTTGGCTAACTCTGCATACTTACAATTAAACAAAGAAATGAGTTTTTTCTGTAATAGGTCCAATATTGAGCCGTTAGTCAGGGGAAGTGTGTGTGCATGTTTTGGATCAATAGCTAGCACCATCTGCTTCAATCTCGCTCCCCTGCCTCGCATCCCCTGATTGAGGGCTCCATTGACAGCTTCATCTGGCATGTGATCTTTCTCTCTTCCTCTCTATAAGATGTGACACAATCAATAATGTAATATTATAACCGCCAACTGCTTACAAAACATACTGCACATGGATGTGACACGTATCTTTTGATTCCAACACAAGTATTGAGAATTTAAAAATACATTTAAGGGAGGACGCTTTCATTAGGATTTACTGATAGTAAATACAGCAGAGGGGACGGTTAATCATTTAAACCCTGCTTATTCCCACAGAGTAAATTCCCACAGTTAATAAGCACATTGCTAAATACATTGTCCAGACAGTCGGTGTCATTTTACTGGTCTCTGGGTCTGTATTGTGTGGCAAAATGAATTCCAGAGATCCAGCCTGCCACAGCTCAAATAACAAATCCAACAAACATGGCAACAGACCAGTGTTTTTCCTTTTTTTCATTCTGGTATTCGGGATGTGTTTGCTGCACCAGTGTGGAACAGACTGGCTGTATGAAATGCTACTGTACGATCCAAACAACCCATTCCTGACAATGCATGAAAGGATATTGCTTTTTTGTTCTTCCTTTGCTCCACTGCCTCTCCTTTTGTTTTGTTTTGTCTTTGTTATGCCTGGTCTGCTTTCAAACAGGAACAAGAACACATGGGGGAGTGGTACGTGAGGATGGCACTGCACTGCAGTCCGTGATGCTCATGAGACTATTCTCTGGAATTAGTTTGCTCACCTATCAAACAGTGGCAGCATTTGTCCTGCAAGAATAGGAGCAAAACAAGAGGCAATTAGGATGAGGCCTTCCAGTCAGTAAGTGAGACAAAGAAAGGAAGTGATAATCTTATCCCAGGAGCAGGTGAGCACACTTCCTCCCACCAGAGGTCTAATCATCGGCTGTGTGGCCGCACTCTTCTTCCTCCACGTGTCAAACTATTGGCTGGCTTCTGGAGCTCGATGCCTCTGCAGGCCTGTGGCTGTGAAAGCTAATCTGATCCAACATGGGCTCTGTCACGGAGGGGAGGGTGGCTGTATGAGAGGGACATAAAGAATGAATGTGAGAGAGAGAAAGAGTACACTCAAAAGCCTGATAGAGGACATGGGGAGGATACTTTGATTACCGCCACACTAAAAAAAAAAGACAAGGCTTTCTGGTTCACTAGCCCCCTCACTTAGTTCACTTTGCAACACACTGCAGTCACTCCCTCTTTTTTTCTTCCCAAGGACGCAATGAATAAATCAGATTCCAACCCAGTCGTTCCATTCCTCTCTTGTATCCACTTTAGCTCTCCAGCTATCTTCAAGTGCACCTGAAGAGACCTGCGCTTGACATTCACTTTCGGTCGGCATTGATCAGCTTGGTCTCTGCACCCTGTTTCGTCAAATGATAGTTTGAAGGCATTATCAGACTTTTCTTTTTAATCGAGTTTTGACATGAGCAGTTTATCACATTTATAGCTTTTTAATCTGTTGATGACTTCCCACGTTGGCTTATTTTCTTTCAATGTTCTTTTGCTCTTTGAAGCTCGTTTTAATGACTGCAATGATAACAATGTAAAGAGATGACACATGGAGTTCATGTGTGAAGCCTTTAGGGCATGACTGAAACAATAAGATATGAAAAGGAAAACAAATATTAGCGCAAAACCCTCATTAGAATTCTGCTCTGAATAAAATATATAACACTACACGAACTGGTTCATTCTTAAACATCACAACTGTTACATCAAATATGTACATTTGGCGTGTTTTGTCTCCCTTTCAGGCCTAACCCGTGCACGTCTCCACACGGTGACTAATGCAGGTGTGACTCAGAGAGCGTGCAGATAGCAAGATGAGATCCTGTTACCGTTTGACTAAACCCAAATAGGCAGGACTCATGATTCCACTTTGAAGAGGCTGTGCCAAATCCAGCATCTGCAGAGACAGCTGTCCTCGTGGGAGTTTGGTGCACCAGAGATTCGCGGTCTCCACTTAATAGAGAATGAATGCTGCAGTGCAAGAAACACACACGTGAACGCAGTCCTGACACCAAAAAACGAGCAAGGTCAGATGAGAGTGGGATCGCTGGGGATTGATAGGCAGACCACATGTAGCTGAAGGCACCAAGGAATCCTGTTTATGTTGCTACTGTACATGCCCACACAACACAAACTGTGCATCATTGTTGTGCAGTTGGACTCTTTCAGTGCAGTATTTGTCAGACAAAGATGTAAACACAGTATTCAGATATTTTATTTAAGTGAAAGTGTGATTAAAATAAAAGTATGTTTATTGAGAGATCCTGAGAAAAGTAGACTCAATGCAGGAAAAATCCGCCTGTGACTATTTTACCATAAAGTTATGATTTATATTTTTTCATTAGGTTATATTATATAATTGGCATGGCTTCTTGTAAAAGCAGCTGATAACTGCTATAGTTGGTTAAGGTGGTTTACCTCAACAAAGTATTATTATCCAACACACTCTCACTCCATAATCGTCCAGGAGCGACGTTTGGTCAGTGTCCGTGGCGTCCAGTTGTGACGCTCCTAGGCTCCTTCAGCTTCATAAAGGGACGCAAATAGCTTTCAACTGATTGCAATGTATTCCCATCTGCGGCGGGATTTGACGCTCATGGAAGCACGGCATTCGTTTGTGTCGGCAGGGTTTAAAGGCAATGTGAGCGTCCATTCCCATTGGATAACGGAGAATTGTACACCCGGAAGTAAGTATTCCCCTTACTGTCGATTGATTTTACAGTGATATCTGCACTACTCATCGACTAAAAAACACCAGATGGTGTTAATTACTAAAGCACCCAGATATTGTTCTAAACTGTATTAAAGTAAACAGGTATTATCTTGAACTGTATTGAAGTGAACATGTATTATTTGGGACTGTTTAAAGTAATCCTATATATATAAACCTTCTTACTTACACTCCATGACCCAGAGACCCTGACACACACACATACACCTCCTGTCTCCATGCAGCACACACACATAAACTCCTTAACCCAGATATCAGCAACACACACACATACGCCTCTGCTTATCAGCATGCACACACACACACATACACTTTCCCTCACTAACACACACACATGACATGTTCTTTTTTCAAGGTTCTTTCTGGGGAGAATAATCCCAAGCACCAATATATCTGTGTACAATGTTTGATTGTTTTAAAAGAATAGTTTGTGTGAAACCTTCCCTGGGAAATTAAAGGAGTTGGGTGGAAGATAAGAAGTGACTGTCCGCCCCAAATATGTCCATATATACTGTTGTTTCTTCATGCAAAATGCCCCCTGTTTCTGACTGGCTGGTCCCGATACCTGTATCGCACAGCAGTAGAACTGGGAGTCCGGAGTACTCTGTAAACTTGTATTGGTGTTTTTTACTGTATTAAAATCAGATTATTGTTATAACTTTTATGCCGGTGTTTTGAACTCCTTTTATCAATCTGACCAGGCTCATCTAAAGGACGGCGCGGAGCAGAGGTGGGCTTTAAGCCACCACTATTGTGTTTGCTCCTACATTACACAACATTGATTGGTTTAAATTGTGTGCAATGCTTTTGTATTTTCCCCCTTCGATTCGGAGAAACAAATATTTTTTTCGGAGTAAAGGATGGCAGAAGACATTACACTACCTAGAATCCCCAGCTATCGTTTAGGACTACACCATGTGCTCTGTTTGACAAACCCCGTTTTTTTTCACCATTAATTCCAATGACTGGCGTCTATGTCACGTGATCTTCAAATTTCTCCCTGCAGAAAAAAAAATATATGGCCAAACTTCGTTTTATTCTCGGTGGAAAATGCCTATTTTAAAGTTAGTTTGGCCATTAAAATGCGTTTTGATGTCATTTGATGCGAGACATATGAGTTGTTATTTCAGATTATGTGTGCAGTGGATGTACATGATCTTTAGTTTGTTAGTTATTACGAAGATTACTTCAGGAAATTACGTCCATAGAACGTTTTCATTGTTAGTGATTGCTAGGGACGCTGCTATCGATATTATTTCTGTTATGTTGTGTAACTGTTTAATGGTGTTATCTTTATTGCTACCCCCTTCCCCGTCAATGTATAGTGTTGGTCCACAGCGCAAACATATTAGTTTAACAAAATCCGCATCTAAAGATACGTTATTTTCCCCTGTGCAATTCCAGTCTCACATCTCACAGCACATCGTCATTAACAAATACCGGAAACAGACCGAAAACATTTAAAAAAAATAAAATAATACTTTATTCCGAGTGTGCTTGCTTTTCTCTTTGAAAGTCATCACATAACGGCATTGTAATACACGGTTCGGCTGCATTAAATATTACATATCTGCCGTAGTTCTCTATTTATAGAGCCCTGATGAGAAGACTTCTAGACAAACATGAGGAACTGCCGCCAACACTGAATACGTGACGTGGATCATAAATATATCAGTAGTTAAACAACATCTTACATTTCTTTTTACACAATACGTCTCCTTGCAGTATCAACACTAATTCGGCTGACTTTTATATTTAATCCAATTGGTAGATAGGCTGTATTTTACGGTGGCCCTGAAGTGCAAGACACTAAAGCATTTCAGAAAACACCACAGCATTTCACAAAACGCCACAGCATTTCACAAAACGCCACAGCATTTCACAAAACACAACAGCGTTTCAGAAAACACCACAGCATTTCACATTGGACGGAAAGGGTATTCCTTTAGGGAGAACACTTCTTGTTTGTGATTGGACAGAGCCAGCCAGAGAAGCACTGCTGTGATTGGTTGTTTTTGCTGCCAGTC